AACCCGTAGGTATGGAACCCGTGGGTATGGAACCCGTAGGTATGGAACCCGTAGGTATGGAACCCGTAGGTATGGAACCCGTAGGTATGGAACCCGTGGGTATGGAACCCGTAGGTATGGAACCCGTGGGTATGGAACCCGTGGGTATGGAACCCGTAGGTATGGAACCCGTGGGTATGGAACCCGTAGGTATGGAACCCGTAGGTATGGAACCCGTAGGTATGGAACCCGTAGGTATGGAACCCGTAGGTATGGAACCCGTAGGTATGGAACCCGTAGGTATGGAACCCGTGGGTATGGAACCCGTAGGTATGGAACCCGTGGGTATGGAACCCGTAGGTATGGAACCCGTGGGTATGGAACCCGTAGGTATGGAACCCGTAGGTATGGAACCCGTAGGTATGGAACCCGTAGGTATGGAACCCGTGGGTATGGAACCCGTAGGTATGGAACCCGTGGGTATGGAACCCGTAGGTATGGAACCCGTGGGTATGGAACCCGTAGGTATGGAACCCGTGGGTATGGAACCCGTAGGTATGGAACCCGTGGGTATGGAACCCGTAGGTATGGAACCCGTGGGTATGGAACCCGTGGGTATGGAACCCGTAGGTATGGAACCCGTGGGTATGGAACCCGTAGGTATGGAACCCGTGGGTATGGAACCCGTAGGTATGGAACCCGTGGGTATGGAACCCGTAGGTATGGAACCCGTAGGTATGGAACCCGTAGGTATGGAACCCGTAGGTATGGAACCCGTAGGTATGGAACCCGTGGGTATGGAACCCGTAGGTATGGAACCCGTGGGTATGGAACCCGTAGGTATGGAACCCGTGGGTATGGAACCTTGGGTATGGAACCCGTAGGTATGGAACCCGTAGGTATGGAACCCGTGGGTATGGAACCCGTGGGTATGGAACCCGTAGGTATGGAACCCGTGGGTATGGAACCCGTAGGTATGGAACCCGTAGGTATGGAACCCGTGGGTATGGAACCCGTAGGTATGGAACCCGTGGGTATGGAACCCGTAGGTATGGAACCCGTGGGTATGGAACCCGTAGGTATGGAACCCGTGGGTATGGAACCCGTAGGTATGGAACCCGTAGGTATGGAACCCGTGGGTATGGAACCCGTAGGTATGGAACCCGTAGGTATGGAACCCGTGGGTATGGAACCCGTAGGTATGGAACCCGTGGGTATGGAACCCGTAGGTATGGAACCCGTGGGTATGGAACCCGTAGGTATGGAACCCGTGGGTATGGAACCCGTGGGTATGGAACCCGTAGGTATGGAACCCGTGGGTATGGAACCCGTGGGTATGGAACCCGTGGGTATGGAACCCGTGGGTATGGAACCTTGGGTATGGAACCCGTAGGTATGGAACCCGTAGGTATGGAACCCGTAGGTATGGAACCCGTAGGTATGGAACCCGTGGGTATGGAACCCGTAGGTATGGAACCCGTGGGTATGGAACCCGTGGGTATGGAACCCGTAGGTATGGAAACCGTGGGTATGGAACCCGTAGGTATGGAACCCGTGGGTATGGAACCTTGGGTATGGAACCCGTAGGTATGGAACCCGTAGGTATGGAACCCGTAGGTATGGAACCCGTAGGTATGGAACCCGTGGGTATGGAACCCGTAGGTATGGAACCCGTGGGTATGGAACCCGTAGGTATGGAACCCGTGGGTATGGAACCCGTAGGTATGGAACCCGTAGGTATGGAACCTGTAGGTATGGAACCTGTAGGTATGGAACCCGTGGGTATGGAACCCGTAGGTATGGAACCCGTGGGTATGGAACCCGTAGGTATGGAACCCGTGGGTATGGAACCCGTAGGTATGGAACCCCTGGGTATGGAACCCGTAGGTATGGAACCCGTGGGTATGGAACCCGTGGGTATGGAACCCGTAGGTATGGAACCCGTGGGTATGGAACCCGTAGGTATGGAACCCGTGGGTATGGAACCCGTGGGTATGGAACCCGTAGATATGGAACCCGTGGGTATGGAACCCGTAGGTATGGAACCCGTGGGTATGGAACCCGTGGGTATGGAACCCGTAGGTATGGAACCCGTAGGTATGGAACCCGTGGGTATGGAACCCGTAGGTATGGAACCCGTGGGTATGGAACCCGTAGGTATGGAACCCGTGGGTATGGAACCCGTGGGTATGGAACCCGTAGGTATGGAACCCGTGGGTATGGAACCCGTAGGTATGGAACCCGTGGGTATGGAACCCGTGGGTATGGAACCCGTAGGTATGGAACCCGTGGGTATGGAACCCGTAGGTTTGGAACCCGTAGGTATGGAACTCGTAGGTATGGAACCCGTAGGTATGGAACCCGTAGGCATGGAACCCGTGGGTATGGAACCCGTGGGTATGGAACCCGTAGGTATGGAACCCGTAGGTATGGAACCCGTAGGTATGGAACCCGTGGGTATGGAACCCGTAGGTATGGAACCCGTGGGTATGGAACCCGTAGGTATGGAACCCGTGGGTATGGAACCCGTAGGTATGGAACCCGTAGGTATGGAACCCGTGGGTATGGAACCCGTAGGTATTGAACCCGTAGGTATGGAACCCGTAGGTATGGAACCCGTGGGTATGGAACCCGTAGGTATGGAACCCGTGGGTATGGAACCCGTAGGTATGGAACCCGTAGGTATGGAACCCGTGGGTATGGAACCCGTAGGTATGGAACCCGTGGGTATGGAACCCGTAGGTATGGAACCGGGACGTCCACCTCCTGGGGATCGTGCAGCCCCGGCTCTGCTTCAGGAGGCTGATGGTAGTTATGGTTCACAATATCAAAGACCTTTCTCAGGTCAATGAAGAGGCCAATTGGAAACCCGTTTTTATTAAGCATACAAATAATAGCATCATTGGAACTCTTTTGGGAACAGAAGACAAACTGGCAGGGACTTAATATGTTGAGTTTACAAAGCTGGAATAAAGATGTTTGTAAATAATGTTTTCAAATATTATTATTAGTAATGGTAGATTTGATATTAGTCTGTAATTGTTTATGTGAGCTGTCTTACCTCCTTTATGAACTGGCATCACTCGTGCTTTTTTAAGGATATCAGGAAAAATATGACACTTTAGAGATTTGAATAGCAGAACTATGGCTGGTGCAAGAGCAGGAGCAGCACTCTTATATTTCATAGATGGTATTTTAATAATGCTACCAGCTTTGGTTATAAGTCATTGAATTATTGATATAAAATCTGTCGGGTTGACTGGTAAAAGGAGTAAAGAGTTATGATAGCTGCCTGTGAGATATGTAGTAACATGTGTCTGGGTCTCTGGGAATTTTCTGGCAAGGTTAGTACCAATTGATGAAAAGAAGCCATTGAATTCAGTTGCAATATCTAAGCCTAATTCAAGTATGTGACCATTTTTGGACAGTTTTATCTGCTTGTTATGTGATTGTTGTTTAGACCCTAGGATGTTATGTGATTGTTGTTTAGACCCTAGGATGTTATGTGATTGTTGTTTAGACCCTAGGATGTTATGTGATTGTTGTTTAGACCCTAGGATGTTAGAGATTGTTATGTGATTGTTGTTTAGACCCTAGGATGTTAGAGATTGTTATGTGATTGTTGTTTAGACCCAAGGATGTTAGAGATTGTTATGTGATTGTTGTTTAGACCCTAGGATGTTAGAGATTGCTGTCCAAGTACTTTTCATATTTCCTTTTGTGCTTGGAGCTGCCTGCGCTCAGGGTTATTGTTGTATTCGGCGGGAAGAGCAACGAACATGTGATCCTTATGACCATTTGTCCAAGTCATAGTTTATTTTAGTTCATATATTATGCCTGTGTTATATATATATCAAATATATATCATATATAATATATATTATACATATAATATATGTAATATATTTTATTACGCCCATCCTGTGGGCGATAGTAGAAAGGGTTACAGAGGCACATAATGGGCTCAGGGACTGAAACCCACAATTCATTTAGCTAAGCAAGTTACAGTCTTGATGAGCTAGTTACAAAACTCAGTGCAGTGAGGAGGGACGTGTCTGCCAGTGCCAGCTTGTTGCATCCTTATTAAAAATTATTTGTTCACTTAAATCTTTTCAGAGTGTTATGAGTTTAGTTACGCTACCAGAATGTATATATTATTATGGTTGTGTGATTAAGTCTGACTGAGAATGATTACTTCAGTCTGTTGTGTGTTAGTAAAGATATATATTCAACACTTGGTAACTGGGGGGAAGGGGGGGGGGTAGTCCAGAGGCGCGCATAAGGAGAGCTTGAACCTGAAGGGGGGTAGAAATAGCCTAAGCTACTCTATCCCTTTGAGATGTATTTCTTTCTTGTCTCAATAAACATACTTGAACTTGAAGGAGAGCTTTCCACCCCCACACCAGTCGAAATCGGTGGGGTCTGGTGGACAGATGTCTGTTAAGTTAAAGTTCAGTATATTTTTTGGTCTATTGTAGTTGATAGTTATTTATGGAGACATTAAATGTTATAAGCAATATGAGGCCTAAACTTAATAGATTATCTTAGGGATGCTGTTGTGCCATTTATTTTGATTGTATATGTATATATACACACATTAATTTTCTATGTACATTATTCCTTTTAATCTTTAATTATTAAATTGTATCTACTCGGAGCATCCTGGTGTATTTTTTACATGCATATTATTATTATTACCCCTAGAAAATACCCATGCCGACAGGTTCACAAGCCTTGCTGAACTAGTTAGAGACAAATTATAAAGGCTTGTGTCCGGAGAGTTGTTCCAACATAATAATTACTTCTATTAAGTGCCAATTCGTAATATTTTTGCCTTCCTAAGTACAGAGTGAACGCTTATTACACAGCAAGTAGATGTTCATTGTGCTTTTCTCTTATTATTCCATTGCATGTGTGCTACAAACGCTTCACGATTTGAGGTAAGTATTATCCTCTGTGCCAGGGGCTAAGGTGTTTACATGTTTGTTAGTGAAGTGTTAATAATTTTCTTAGTGCTAATAATGAAAAAAAAACAAGCAGAATTGCTGCTTGTGGAGGCGCACTTTGAAGGGATTAAGATCTTGACAAAGTCTGCCTTGATTTATATGGCAGGTAAATTAGATTTAACAGCTAATAACAGAATGGTGAAGATCCAGTTAGTAAAGCTGACAGTCACCCACTTAGTGGACGACGGTAGACTTGAGGAAGATGTTCTAGACGAGTTACCACAAGGGTCAAATGACCAATTATCAATGAAGTGTCATAAGTTAGAGGCTCAGATAAAATTAACTAAAATAGAGGTTCAAAATAAACAGTTAGAGGTAGAGGCTCAAAATAAACAGTTAGAGCTAGAGGCTCAAAATAAACAGTTAGAGCTAGAGGCTCAAAATAAACAGTTAGAGCTAGAGGTTCAAAATAAACAGTTAGAGCTAGAGGCTCAAAATAAACAGTTAGAGCTAGAGGCTCAAAATAAACAGTTAGAGCTAGAGGTTCAAAATAAACAGTTAGAGCTAGAGGCTCAAAATAAACAGTTAGAGCTAGAGGTTCAAAATAAACAGTTAGAGCTAGAGGCTCAAAATAAACAGTTAGAGCTAGAGGCTCAAAATAAACAGTTAGAGCTAGAGGCTCAAAATAAACAGTTAGAGCTAGAGGCTCAAAATAAACAGTTAGAGCTAGAGGCTCAAAATAAACAGTTAGAGTTAGAGGTTCAGCATAAATTAGAGGAAGCTAGGCAAAAGCAAGCAGAACAAACTAGACAGTTAGAAATTCAAGGACAAAAGGCAGCAGATAGTAACATAGAAGAACAGATAATCGCAGCTGGACATGGTAATACTAGTAATATTTCAGGTAGTAACAACCCTCAGTCTAGAATTAATAAATATGTAGAGTTACCTATGTTTAATGAGGAAGACCCTGAGATCTTTTTTACCCATTTTAGCAAAACCGCCTTCAGCATGAATTGGCTAGTAGATCAATGGGTTGCCATTATGCAAAGTTAGTTAAGGAACAAGGCTCAGGAGGTCTTTGCATCACTTCCTGATGCTACGAGTTTTGATTTTGATTTTGTTAAAACGATCATCTTAAATGCTCATCAATTAAATCCAGAGGCACAAACAAAAATTTCGTGGATTAAAAAGGGCACATGATCAGACTATTTCTGACTTTACTAGGTTAGAAGAAAATTACTGTGAGAGATGGCTTAAATCTTACTTAGCACTAGTCTCCGTGGTGTATTGGTAAGACACTCACCTGGCGTTCCGCTAGAGCTTTGTCATGGGTTCGTGTCCTGGCCGGAGAGGATTTAGTGGGTCCATATCCTTAACTGTAGCCTCTGTTTAACTCAACAGTAAAATGGGTACTTGGTTGTATAAACGATTCTTCGCGGCGGGGATCGTATTCCAGGGACCTGCCCGCAATGCTACGCGTACTAGTGGCTGCACAAGAATGTAACAACTCTTGTATATATCTAAAAAAAAAAAACTTTCAATTACAGAGTTTGAGGCTCTTAAAAACCTCCTGGCTTCTGAAAAGGTATTATCTTGTCTCCCGGACAGCTTATCAATCTATATAGTGGAACAAAACAATATTACTGACAGTTATGAGCTCGCAAAGCTTGCGGATGAATATGAGTTACTCGCAAGAGGGCGTTTTTGGGCCACATAATAATCCTCATAATAATAAATTTAATCAGCATGTTCAGAAATTTAACGTTCACCAGACCAAACCAAGTTATAACCCACTTACTACTCGCATGAACTCTTCTCCTGCTAAGACTAAGAGAACACACAGTCGGGGATGCAACATCCCAATAATGTAACTACCAAATCCTCAGTGGGTGTGACAGGGTTCACATCTGACAATAGATTTTGCACACATTGCAAGAGAAGAGATCATGTTGTAAATTCCTGCTTTATTCTTCACCCTAATTTAAGACCTACAGTGCTCATATTTAGTAGAGGTGTGCAAAATAGATATAATAAGCATGTTACTGTAGATCCCAAATAGATAGCCACTTATAATCCCTATATGTATGCAGGGGAATTATTTTATAAAAATGGTAAATGGAAGCCAGTTATAATTTCAGGGACACGGGGGCGTCTCAAACACTGATTACCAAGCATGTACTCTCTATTGTTGCAAAGAGAGATACTGGTGAGTTTGTAGTTCTTCAGAGCATTGCAGGTTATTAAACTGTACCTCTAATAGATATCACTTTGATATCCATCTTTACTCCAGGCTTGTGCACTGTTGGTGTCAGTGAACGCTTGCCTGTCCCAAATGTTGAAATCATACTGGGAAATGATATAGCCATAAATAATGTTGTTGGGAAGGTTCATCCCATTTTGTTTCCTAAAACAGTTTATGTGAGTGGCCAGCCAGCTGTAGAGGATGGTGTTATCTACCCTACATGTGAAGGATAGGAAAGGTTCTGGTGAAGGATACGGAAGGTCCTGCTGTAGGATACACAAGGTGGTGAAGGATAGGGAAGGTACTGGTGAAGGGTAAGGAAGGTGGTGATGGATAAAGGTGGTGGTGAAGGATAGGCAAGATACTGGTGAAGGACAGGGAAGATGGTTAAGGATAGGGAAGGTGGTGAAGGACAGGCAAGGTAGTGAAAGATAGGGAAGGTAGGGAAGTATAGGGAAAGTGGTTAACTGTAAGGAAGGTACTGGTGAAGGATAGGGAAGGTGGTGAAGAGTTTGGAAGGTACTAGGGAAGGATTGGGAAAGTACTGGTGATGGATAGAGTGAAGGATAGGGAAGGTTCTATTTGTAGGTACTTCAAATTCTATTCTAGAATTTGAAGAACCTTATAGGTAAAAAGAGAGCTTGGTACAAACGGATTAAAAATGGGGTAGTCAGGTTAGAACAGGAATTCGTACAACTGATTAGAAATGTTAAAAAAGAGATAAGGAAAGCAAAAAGAAACTATGAAGTTCGCATAGCAGAGCAAGCAAAGACAAATCCTAAAGGGTTTTTCAGTTATATCGTACTAAGACTAGGGAAAGGATAGGTTCATTAAAAACTGAGACAGGTTTTAATTAAATAAAAAACTGAGACAGGTCAAATTACAGATAGTGATGAAGAGATGAGTAGTATTTTTAATAAATATTTTGTATCTGTATTTACTAAAGAGGAACTTAACAATATGCCTTCAGCCGAACAAGTCTATGTGGGTGGGGACGAGGACAGGTTGACGAGTTTAGCAGTTACCAGGGAGGATGTTCTTAAACAAATAGTAAAACTCAAACCAAACAAATCCCCAGGGCCGGATGAAGTGTTTGCCAGGGTGCTTAAAGAATGCAAAGAGGAGCTTTGTGACCCACTGTCAACCATATTTAATAAATCAATAGAGTCAGGCAGAGTGCCAGAGTTTTGGAAAGTTGCTAATGTGATACCAGTTTTTAAGAAAGGAGATAGATCACGTGCGTCTAACTATCGACCAATTAGCCTAACGTCTATTGTGGGAAAGTTACTCGAATCTATAATAGCAAATAAAATTCGTCTTCATCTTGAAAAACATAAATTAATAATTGAGTTGCAACATGGTTTTATAAATGGCCGTTCATGTTTAACAAATTTGTTATCTTTTTATTCTAGCATTGTTGAGGCAGTTGATAGTGGTAAGGATTGCGATGTTGTATACCTTGACTTTAGCAAAGCTTTTGATACAGTGCCACATGAAAGACTGATTAAAAAGATAGAGTCTCATGGTATTGGGGGTGCTATATTAAGCTGGATTAGGGCATGGCTATACCAAAGGAAACAGAGAGTTAGTATAAATGGAATCAAGTCAGAGTGGGAAAATGTTGTAAGTGGAGTGCCTCAAGGCTCTGTCCTGGGACCTCTGTTGTTTATAATATATATAAATGATTTAGATTCAGGTTTGAGTAGCAACATTTGCAAATTTGCCGATGATACGAAAATCGGTAGGGAAATTAATTCGGAGGAGGACTCACTATCACTTCAAGTTGATCTAGATAGGGTTTTGAAATGGTCAAAGGATTGGCAGATGCAGTTTAATGCTGATAAATGCAAAGTTCTGAGGTTAGGTAATGATGATAGAGTTACAAGATACGAGCTAGATGGTGTTGTGATTGCAAAGTCGGATTGCGAAAGGGATCTGGGAGTTATGATTAGTAAGAATTTAAAACAAAAGGATCAATGCATAAATGTTCGTAATAAGGCAAATCGGACACTTGGATTTATTAATCGCAGCGTTAGTAACAAGACACCTGGTGTGGTTCTCAAGCTATATCTTGCTCTAGTTAGGCCCCATTTAGATTATGCAGTTCAGTTTTGGTCGCCATATTATAGAATGGATATAAATTCACTTGAATGTGTCCAGCGTAGGATGACTAAGTTAATTCCCGAAATTAGAAATCTTTCATATGAAGAAAGATTAACAAAGCTTAAGTTGCATTCACTGGAAAGGCGAAGAGTTAGGGGTGACATGATAGAGGTTTACAAGTGGATGAATGGACATAACCGGGGGGATATTAATAGGGTATTAAAAGTATCAACACAGGACAGAACACGAAACAATGGGTATAAATTGGATAAGTTTAGATTTAGGAAAGACTTGGGTAAATACTGGTTCAGTAACAGGGTTGTTGATTTGTGGAACCAATTGCCGCGTAACATTGTGGAGGTGGGGTCCCTCGATTGTTTCAAGCACGGGTTGGACAAGTATATGAGTGGGATTGGGTGGTTATAGAATAGGAGCTGCCTCGTATGGGCCAATAGGCCTTCTGCAGTTACCTTTGTTCTTATGTTCTTAGGTCAAATAACAGATAGTGATGAAGAGATGAGTAGTATTTTTAATCAATATTTTGTATCTGTATTTACTAAAGAGGAACTTAACAATATGCCTTCAGCCGAACAAGTCTATGTGGGTGGGGACGAGGACAGGTTGACGAGTTTAGCAGTTACCAGGGAGGATGTTCTTAAACAAATAGTAAAACTCAAACCAAACAAATCCCCAGGGCCGGATGAAGTGTTTGCCAGGGTGCTTAAAGAATGCAAAGAGGAGCTTTGTGACCCACTGTCAACCATATTTAATAAATCAATAGAGTCAGGCAGAGTGCCAGAGTTTTGGAAAGTTGCTAATGTGATACCAGTTTTTAAGAAAGGAGATAGATCACTTGCGTCTAACTATCGACCAATTAGCCTAACGTCTATTGTGGGAAAGTTACTCGAATCTATAATAGCAAATAAAATTCGTCTTCATCTTGAAAAACATAAATTAATAATTGAGTCGCAACATGGTTTTATAAATGACCGTTCATGTTTAACAAATTTGTTATCTATTTATTCTAGCATAGTTGAGGCAGTTGATAGTGGTAAGGATTGTGATGTTGTGTACCTTGACTTTAGCAAAGCTTTTGATACAGTGCCACATGAAAGACTGATTAAAAGATTAAAAAAAAAAAAAAAAAAAAAAAAAAAAGAGATAAGGAAAGCAAAAAGAAACTATGAAGTTCGCATAGCAGGGCAAGCAAAGACAAATCCTAAAGGGTTTTTTCAGTTATATCGTACTAAGACTAGGGAAAGGATAGGTCCATTAAAAACTGAGACAGGTCAAATAACAGATAGTGATGAAGAGATGAGTAGTATTTTTAATAAATATTTTGTATCTGTATTTACTAAAGAGGAACTTAACAATATGCCTTCAGCCGAACAAGTCTATGTGGGTGGGGACGAGGACAGGTTGACGAGTTTAGCAGTTACCAGGGAGGATGTTCTTAAACAAATAGTAAAACTCAAACCAAACAAATCCCCAGGGCCGGATGAAGTGTTTGCCAGGGTGCTTAAAGAATGCAAAGAGGAGCTTTGTGACCCACTGTCAACCATATTTAATAAATCAATAGAGTCAGACAGAGTGCCAGAGTTTTGGAAAGTTGCTAATGTGATACCAGTTTTTAAGAAAGGAGATAGATCACTTGCGTCTAACTATCGACCAATTAGCCTAACGTCTATTGTGGGAAAGTTACTCGAAT